GGTGACCAACTCCTCCCACGAAGTGATTGATTCACGTGGCAATTCAGCCAGCCACTTGCACGCCTCACCCATCAAAGAGAATGGGAACAACCTCAATCGAACCGATTCTTAGGAGATATTCTTGAAGGAGAATGGTCTGCATACATCCACGAAGTTTCTAATGTGCTCATGGGGATCCTCATGAGCCAAACCACTAAAAAGCCCTTTTAGTTGCAAGAGTTGCAACATAGTACTCGTGATGTGGAACACCGCATTCCCTTCGGCCGGAGGTAAGCGAATGACACCAATACCGCCCATGAGATGGGGGTCATTAGCATGAGGCTTGTTGACACCGTTGAGATTTCCGATGTTGTCTTGATGGCCTACTTGGCTGCCATTGCTGCCGTTTACGCTCATACTTCCTATTTTCAACACAAACAAGTACAACAAAGCTAAAAATTAAGTAAGTAGAACTATCACTAACAAGAGAAAAGTTTAACTTAACTAAAAATTCTCAATTAGTACCACTCCCCGGTAGCGGCGCCATTTTGATTTGACGTATCTGGGCGCTTCATCCAATACTAAGCGTCCACGATAGTTCAATAGTAATATAACCCAACTAGTAAGTTGGGGTCAAGTCCCAAGGGAGCGGTTTGTAATTGAGAATCAATAGAAAAGAAAAAATGTGTTCAAGTTAATCATAGCTATAGACATTTATGAAGAAAAACATGATAAATTAAAGGGTGACACAAGTGTCAATTATCAAAGGGGGTTTTGTAAGCAATTATCAATTGAAATGACAACTAAAACGAAAATGTAAATATGGAGACAAAATTCTTGGGATGTGATAGGAATATGGGTTAAAATACACAACCGGGTAAATGATATTGATAGTAACTCGCTACAAATTGGTAACTAGGCTAGACTTTAGTGGGGGTAAAATTTTCTCTCGAACAATTTACCCCCGAATCAAATCGATTTCTCTCGAACACCGATAAGCGGCAATGAAGCACAACCTTCGCCTTAGTTCATTCACTCTCTCGAGCTGAATGTGTGGGAGAGGGTTTAGGATTCACTCTCTCGAGTTGAATCCACGACAACCCAATAACCACGGACTATCGATTTCGTAGTTTTGGTTTTGAAACTTCTCTCTCGAGCAAGTATAAAACACGAAGATAAAATTGTATTTGCAACTACAACCCCATTTAATTTAAACATAACTACTAAACGAAATCACCTCTAAACAACGAATAAACAATCAATAATTAGCAATACCCAACAGTAAATTTAACCCATATTCACAAAATCACACCCTAAGAATTGGAACTTTAGCTAGACATAGTAAAGAGATAGAAATCGATACAGAAAACTGTTTCCATCAAATGGATACGATAAATATTGTCTTTACACACGTCAAGAATGAAGAATCTTCAATACCCACTTCCAATTGCTTAGAAAATGGAAATCTTTAACTCTTCAAAGCTAAGGAAAATTGAAAAGCTAAGGAAAATAGTCTCCAAAAACTAAGTTCTAAAAACTGAGTTCTCAAATGTAAAACTTCATTTAAACTAAAAATTCAAACAGGTATTTATAGTTGTCAAAAAGTGTGTTGCGATAGATCACCCAACGCAGTTAGTCGGGATCGCCGATCCACTCGGCGATCTGCCCTTTGGTCTGGTTCATCGCCTTTCTTCATTGTCCTTCAACAACTTCAAGTTCTGTAACATTGAGCGATGGAGTACTGCATCGTGGAATCGTTCGGCGTCTCACCGACTGCTTCTTTATCTCGCCGACTCGATTTTCTCCTTTAGAGCTTGGCACACTGGAACATTAGGCGAGACCATAGCCATTCGATGACTCGCCTAATGGCTTAGGCGATGCTCAGGCTGTCTATTCTTCGTTCTTTTCAGCTGTCTTGTTCCTTTTTGCCTAATAGTGTCCATGCTTAGTCTCTAACTCCAAATACCTGAAACTCAAATATTTTCATCAGTTATTGAGACAAAATATGCATTTGAGGACACTAAATCTATCAAAATAAAGCCCTAAAAGAGTCCAAATTGTGGACTCATCAGTGTTACACGTTTAGCTTCAAACAATATTTTCTTTCAATTCTCATCCAAATCGTAATAGATTGAAAAAATTCGAAAACATATGATGAATACATTCAGGAATCTGGAAAAGCAAGGTGAGTTATGAGCGATGCATAAGTGATGAATTCAAATTTCTTCTCCAGTTCGTCGAAGATCCTTTCAATTTTGATTCAAAATTATCAAAAAAATTGTGAAGATACATCATGAAATTTTGATTTTGCTGAGACATTGAAGAATTTGAAAAAAATGATTTGACATTCAAAAATCTGGAAAAATATGAGCCTGAATTTGCAATGTATAAAATAGATCAGAGCTTTAATTTTATAGTAAAATAGATCTGACAATTAGAGGTATGAAATTACATATATTTTGTTGTTAGTTCGATTTTTGATTTGTGTTTTTGAGATGACTATATCAGTCGTGATACATTAATATTTATGTATCTAGTATAGATTGATAAGTACTATATTCCTATTAATTAGATACATTAAATAAGTAAATTTTGCACGTAAAGTATTTGCTTAGTGTTTGACACATTACTGTGTGATACATGTAATATTAATTTAAATTATTGTATCATGATCGTATGTTTAGCATGATACATTACTATTTTTGTATCTTGTTATGTTTGTGAAATACTATACTTGTAGATGATACATTATACATGTAATTTGTTGTAAAAGCATCAAAATGTTCAAGAATGAGGGTATGTATCAGATTATATTTATATTTTGTACCTGATATTAAGTATAAGTTAGTTTTATGATCGTTTGTGATTGATACATAAAAATAGTTGTTTTATGGAATGTTTCACTAATTTCTTTGATGTTAACAGGCTGTTGCATCATCTGAGTATCTTTATTCAGTCTATAATTCTGAAAGAAGTTACATTGTTTGCCTTGAAAGATAAATATGCAATTGTGGAAGATTTCAAGTTGATAAGATACATTTTTTATATAATGTATCATTTTATAGTTGATAATACTGTATCTGATACAATAAGGTTGTGAAAAAAGGGTGTATGTAAGCTGAAATAAAGTGTATCTATAAATGTATCATTTTTAGTTGATAATAATGTATTTGATACAATAATATTATCAGTTTTTATGTATTTATATATCATGCCCATAAAATTGTGCATGATACATTAGTATTTATAACTTTAACTTCAGGGTAAAGAGATATGATAATGAAAGATATGAAATTACATGTATTTTGTTGTCTATATTACATCTCGAGATGGATATATTACTCATGATACATTACTATTTCTAAAATATTTGGTAGATTGATAAGTACTTTAATATTTAAATTTTTTCTTCCCATTATTTAAAAAAATTATCAATTTTTGAATCAAACTTGTCGACAAATTGTACTAATACAACATGAATGAATCAGTAACTAACTACAACTAAGTTATCAAGTATATGCATGAATGAATCAACAATCAAGTTATCGAGTACATTGATGTTTCAGAAATTTGTAGATGAAAAGGCTGATACATGATAAATGAATAATGATATATTTGGTAGAATTTTTGTATCAAGTATCAATAGCAATTAATGTTATGTATCAAAACTAATATTTAAACGCGATACATTGTGCATGATAAAATTGTAATATATTATAATGTTGAACATTTCAATAATGTTTTAAGATGATAAAACAAAAAGAAAATCGTTACTTTTAATAGATTCAATAATTTTTTTAATTTTCAACAGATTCAACATTTTTTTTAACTGTACGCGGTTAATGTATGTTTTAGACGAATGGTTTCTGTAAATAGCTCTAGTTTAACAGCACTTGGAGTCTGAACCTTGTCCGAGTGACCTCCCAAAACTCCTTGGTTATTCGGTACAATATTAGGTCTATTGCCCTATTCAGGTCTCCCATGCATCTTTTTCTCGCTTCTGTTCCCCGGAACAATTTTGCTATGTATCTATTAAATGCACAGGGATTAACCTGGTGGTTGTGACAATGCAACAATTATGCTTTTTTATATGTAAAATAATAATAATAATAATTTTTTTAACTGATTCAACACTTTTTTAAGATGAAAAAACTTTAAAAAAAGTAAAAGAAATCAAAATTGAAGTGACAAAAAGAAATCTATCTCTTGAATAACTTGAAATCATTAATTGGAAAGACAAAAATTCGAAATTCAAAAATAGATTAATGGAGGTAACTGTGGAGATATTTGTGGCGTGAAAAAAGGAAGGAATATCATGAGTATTGGGTTTCAAATTAATGTATCCGGAAAAGGAGATGATGAGAGCAAAAGAAGAGATTTTTGATATTTTTTGAAATGATAGGAAAAATAAGAAAATATGATAATAAATTATATGTAGTTAGGTAATTTATCCTAAAAGATATTGGTATTTTTTTTTTTTGGTTGATGTTGATTGCGTGTGAGGTGAAACATTTTTTATTAGTTGCTTGGTCCTTGTGTAAAGCACAAACGAAACCCTGACTCTCACGCTTCAAAACACAAAACCCTCCACCGGAAGCAATACCCTGACCCTATATAATATGCAGGCCCGCCCGCTACAAGTCTTTAAGAAACGATGGGAACTGGCGAAGATAGGTCGGAGATAGTGTTTTTCGACGTGGAGACAACTATACCCACGCGAACTGGACAGAAATATGCACTCTTGGAATTTGGGGCAATTCTTGTTTGCCCAAGAAAACTTGTTGAACAACATAGTTACTCTACCCTTGTACGACCCTCTGACCTCTCTCTTATTTCTACCCTTTCTGTTCGCTGCAATGGAATTACCAGAGATGCTGTCACTTCTGCCCCTTCATTTGCTGATATCGCCGATAAAGTCTTTGACGTTCTCCATGGTTATTATCTCTTCATAACTATTGCTTTATTTACCATTTTAGAGCTTGTTCATGTTTGAATTTAGATACAAAACTCTGTCTGACGCCAAATGTGGACAAATTTACTAAGCACATCTGCTTGTGGGCTGTAGCAGGTTGTTTGGTGGTTTACTAGACCATTTTAAGTTTCCTTTTTCTCACTTTCCTTCCTATAGAGGGCAGGATTCCGAATGTTAAGTTAAGTTACGTCTAACTTTGTCAGAGTTGCTGCTAAAACCATGATAGATTGTAGGAGTATATTTTTGTAATTATGTCTATAAGCCAAGTCAAACGCTGTGGGTGCGTGCTCACAATCCGTGCTCTGTATTTCTATCTGCCTCTGCCTCCGCAGTGTTTCCTTTTTGACAGTGCGAGGGACTTCTAATGTTTTATTGGAAATATGGTCGATCTAATTGTTTTTTTAATGTGGTTGCTATGCTGTTTGTGTAGGGAGGATATGGGCGGGCCACAATATACTGAAATTTGATTGTCCAAGGATTCGGGAGGCGTTTGCTGGAATTAACAGGCTTGCACCAGAACCTAAGGGAACAATTGATACACTTACTTTGTTGACTGAAAGATTTGGAAGGAGAGCTGGTAACATGAAGGTATAACCTCTTCTTCATGAAAAAATAGGGAAGTAAGTTAATTTTACTCGTAATAAACAGTTGTCTTCAAGAGTTCGCACTTGTTAGAGAAGTGTTAGTTTTTTGCCTTCATCTGGGAAACACTAATGGGCCTTCAGAGTACTCAAATTTAATGATATTTCCCAAACCTAAGTCAATTGTGTACATGCCAGGGTGATACACTAAGCAACACATTTTGACACGAATTTATTGATTGTCAAGATCAATAGACTCAGCCTTCTAATATGGTTTGTATTTATGTTAGAACATTTCTTTCTATTGCATTACCTTTTTTATTTGTGGTACTTCTGTACGGATTAATGTTTACTTGAGAAAGGGTTTCTATTTGTGTTGTAATCTGGTCGATGGGTTCTTATGCCAAAATTAGTAGATGAACTCCCCAGTCCCCGGGACTGCAAATTTTTCATGCTGTGTCTTCATTTTTGTATGCTTTTGTTTTAATTGTTTTTAGCTTTATTTGAAGAAGCAGGAAACTACAACAAAATAGTAATCTTCCTTTTTCATAGAATCAACCAACATATATGACAAAACGTCTGGTTTGCTGTGAAACAGATGTGTATAAATGTTTCCTCTTTCAGATCTATTTGTTATTTAATATGTTGATATTTCCATACATAAGCATTGGAGAGTATTTGTAAAGAGTAGATAGGCCAATTCTGCTAATAGGGGAGGCTATTGCAATCCTTTGTACAACCGGGGAGGTCTTGTGTACCACCAAGAAATGTCACAGGGTACAAGTGAAGTGATATCAGTTGTAATGTTTAAAATATCAAATGATGATTTGGTTGCATTCTGTTTGCAGATGGCCTCTCTTGCTACATATTTTGTCCTTGGAGAGCAAACACATAGGTAACAATGTTTTATCCTTTCTTAGATGGTTTTGCCCCCTGCAGTGTGAACTGCAAGGTTTTGGAATATTTTTCAATGTCTCAACGTTGATGTTCTACTTTTCAGGAGTTTGGATGATGTCCGTATGAATTTCGAAGTACTAAAGCACTGTGCAACTGTCTTGTTTTTGGTAAGTTGTTCATTGTCGTACTTTTGAATTTTAGTTCTTCAAGTCTAGGTTTGCTTATGTTAACAATTATTCTCAAACTTGGCGAATCGTAGATATACTGTTCAGCTGAACCAATTTGACATGCTTTTGATTTTTTCATTTCATTGCAGTACTTTCCTTTTATCCTATTTGTCCATACAATCATGCCACTTATGTTAAGATATTACGGTGCAACAATAATAAAGGAAGTATATTATTCTAATTTCTTCCATGTCTATGTCAAACTGTAGAATGTATGGTATGATCAATGAAATCCAAGTTGCATGGCACACCTGACACCTGAGGGGATAGAAATCAAACTCATAAATCATGAGATTGGTATACCTTCCCTTCTTATAACCTTATACTCGGTTAGCCCCTCCTCCACCCTCTACCCCAAACACCTCAACCTCAATAAAAGGAGAGGGCAAAAGTAAAAAAGAAAAAACTTACTCCCAAAGCAAGTATGGGGTTGCAGCTGGAAAAATTCTCTTTCATTGTCTTCTGATATCTTCCCACAAGTCTCTCTTTCTAATGTTTAGACTGTGTTCCTTCTGTCTCAACTGAGGTGTCAATTGGTTTCCTAATCTGGCAACTGTCACAGGGTAGAATTCAGCATCAAATTTACTGGAACAAGATTAATGCAATCATTTCTGTTTAAGCTATGTGATGCAGATGCAGCGCCTCTGATTGTGATTATTGTGACTACCTTTTTTCGACAGGCTGTCCAATTTAGACTTGCAAAGGGCTTTAGAGGTAGTTGCATATTTATTAAAACAACAGCATACAGTGTAGTCCCCACAAGTGGATCTGGGGTGGTGGTGTGTAGAAAATTTTACTCCTACCTTGTGAACTTAGAGAGACTGTTTCCAATAGACCCTCGGCTCAAATAAAGGATATCATAATCAAGTACCTAAAGGAAATACAGTAGTGAAGAAGACCTGCTAAAAATAAAAGGAGAAAGGAACAGTAGCAACAACAAATAATATGGTAACCGAAACAAAGGAAACGTCACGTAATATGAAATCAAAGAATAATAAATTAGGAACAATACCGATAAGGGAACTAGACAATGCTCAACTAACTATTAACCTTCTACACTAATCTTTGACTTCCATATCTTCCTATCTAGGGTCAAGTCCTCGGTAAGCTGCAGGTGTGCCATATCCTCTCTAACCACCACTCCCCAATACTTTTTTGGCCTACCTCTACCTCTCCTCATAACCACCATTGCCAACTTTCACACCTCCTCAGTAGCACATCCGTGCCTCTCCTCTTCACATGCCCAAACCATCTCAGGTTCGCCTCCCTCATCTTGTCCACCACGGAGGTCACTCCACCTTGTCTCGAATATCTTCGTCCCTAAGCTTATCGCTCCTAGTATGCCCAAACATCCATTTCAACATCCTTAATTTTCGCTACTTTCATCTTTTGGACATGCGATTTCTTGACTGACCAATAAATTCAAAATGTTGAATCAATGATGAAGCTTAAGAACTGATCAAGAAAGTAAGTGAATTGTAGCTGATCTGAAGCAAAAATGGAAGTGTCATCTTGCAAACAACTTAATCCTTCGATTATTCGCACTGTTCGAAATGGTATCAGATCTGGAGTTCAAATTTCATCTACAAAATAATATTTTCACATGCTTAGTTCAAGAAAGAGAATCAAGCTGCACACAAGCAGCATTTTGAATGTCTAAAATAAATGATAAAAATATCACTCTCCTACAATTAAGCTTTTAGATGTGGCAGTTGACACTATGCAATCAAGAACTGCAAGGCCATGCTACTGCATCTTATCAGGATATATATATTATTAACAGTTCACTATCATTTCTAAAAATTCTTCTTGATCAGAACAGACTAGAGAACTTTGCCATGGGTTGAATAGAAAAATTATTGTACTTGCAGGAATCCAGCCTGCCTGATATATTAACCAACAACAGTTGGGTGTCTCCTAATGCTGCTGTAAGAAGTCGTGCTAATGGAAATACTAATTTGGAGGGGATGGGCTTGAGTATAGATACACTTTCATCAAGTGTCAAGATAGGAAGTCCTATGAAATCTGTTGCAGAAGCTTACACAGAATCAGACAATCCAATACTTCCGCATGTGAGCAGAAATGTGGAGGAGGTACCAGATCTTATTGAAACAAATTCCTCGAGGCCTGACCCTTTTAACTTGGTCCAATTCAGTGCGGAAGTAAGGGAATTCATTCAGTTAGATGCAATGGAAGAAGAGCCTGCTTCATATTCTCGAGATTCTTCTGCGTCAATTGCAACAGAGGGTTACATTGGCTTCACAGACTTCTTAGAACCAAATAAAATTTCAATTTCTTCCGTTTCCTTAAGTCTTTCCCCCTTACATCGTGGAATGCAGAAGATACAAATCTTGCACAACAATGCTGAGTTGCAAGTTCGCTCTAAATGCCTGAAGGTGCGGTTTGGAATTAGTACAAAGTTTGTGGATTATGCTGGTCGGCCACGGTTGAGTTTTGTGGTGGATGCATCATCAGAGTTATGCCAACTTTTGGATGCAATTGATAATCTTACTCAGAAGTTGACCGAGGATTCAGGTAGCATGTCAGAATGGAGGCCTGTGGTAAACAGAAAGCCTGGCTTTATGAACTGTCCTACCGTTCGTTTAAAGTAAGTTCTGATCTTCCTTTTCCTGGATAAGTGAAACCTCAGTTTTCCTGTTATCAGAAACCAGGAGAGATTTTACCTTGTGTTTTTTCTGGTATGTTCTTGATGCATATGAGATCAAATTTTCCTTTTCCGTTATGCTTTGTATTTTGAGGCTAGTCTGCTTCTGTATATGGTAGCCGTCCTTCAGATTTTCCAACCGGATGCACAAGTAATAGATGAGCTTTTAGTGCATGGCTAGTTCAGACTTTCATAGTTTATATTTTATATTGAAAATTAGGATAGAAAAGCAGTATATAATACATAGAAAATGTATCATTATATTTTGTCTCTACTTCCATTTACACCTCCACAGCTCCACTCACCAGGACAAGAAGCCTTTTTACTGATCAATATCCCTGCGCTTGGGAACTAATATTATAATGTATTTGAACATGCAGTTTACCAACTGTTGTAGATGGTAATATCTCCCGCTGGGTCACAGAGATATACCAGAAAGAGTCTTCCACAACACAGAAGCTTATGTTCAGTAGGTTTGATGTGACAGAACTGGATTCCTTGATTACTCCAGGGACTGTGTTGGATGCATACTTCTCAGTGGATTCATATGACTATCAACAGATTGCAGGCATCCGCCTGGTGGCTAAAAAGTTGATTGTGCATTCCTCCCTGATAGATAAAGCGACTTGTCGATTGACATAACATAATAGTTGTACAGTTTGCTCCTATTGTCTACATAGGAGTATCCTGTACAGTCTGACAAGAGAATGCTATTCAAATTGTTTACTCTAATCTAATAATTTGGGTGGTTCATCCACTTATTATAAGTTGAATGACCTTTATACACAACTCTTGGTTGTTTCTCTATAACATCCGAAATGACTTAATGCTCTGCAGAAAACAAAAATATTGGTTAACATTAGACAAAATACAAATTGTTTGACTCTGATGAAAATGAAACTGTTCTCTGACAATCTTTAGATCGCAAGTAGGGATAAATCTTTATCATAACACCTACCAT